TATCATTAATAAATTATTATTTTATTTAAAAAATACTAAATACAATTAAATTTTCTAGGCAAATTTGTCTGGAATACGGTTTAAGAAATAGTCTTTTGGAAGATTATTAAAAATAAAATCTACAAAGTTTTCTGCAATTGCATTTTCTTGATTAGTTTTTATAATTTTATTTCAATTTTCATTCTTTTTTTTTGTTTATTATTAGTAAAAATTTGATTACAGCAATTAATATATATTTTTAGAATATTGTGTTTATTGAATTTTATGCTTTTAAAAGAATCACTTGGTTGCAATGATCGCTTTTCATTTTGAAGAATCGAAGAAAAAATGTCACTTAATTATGATCCTAATCATGATGAATGGACAATCTTATATGATTTTTGAAACTTTTTGGTGGTGATTTTGCCCCGGTCGTAGTTAGACTCGGGATATTAAAACTAGATATAACAATATAATTGGATTTGAATGTTAGAACTAAATATAGTACACTATAACTAAACATAGCATGATAGTTAGATTTGAATGCTAGAACTAGACATAGTATAGTTATTAGATTCGATATATAGCACGATAGTTAGAATTCAGATCATAGTATAGTAGTTAGATTTGGAATATAGTATAATAATTAGAGTTCAAGATGTAGAACAGTGATTAAATTCAGGACATAGCATAGTAATTGGATTCAAAACATAGCATAATAATTAAAGTTTGGAATATAGCATAATAGATTCAGAACATTAATTGGATTCAGAATATAGTATAATAGTTAGAATTTAAGGCATAACACAATAGTTAGATTTGGAACATAGTATGTAGTTAAATTAAAACATAGTATATTAGCTAGAATTCAGAACATAGCATGATAGTTAGATTCGTATATTATTTCATATTCTAATGTCTGTAATCATATTATTCAAATAAAAACTTAGCGAGCAATTTCCTACTAATCATGATTATAAATTGCCAGATAATACCATTATTGTAAAAATTGTCGAATATGGTAATTTGACAAATGATTAGCATATGTGCTACAAAGTATATACTCATTTGCCAAATTACCATTATTTGACAATTTTTGCCTAATAATAGTATTATCTAGCAATTTATAAATAAATCATAACATATTAAAAAAATAACAAGAAATAATTTTATGATCATATAAGTTTATCAGATAATAGTTAGTATTTATTAAGCATAGACAAAAGGACATGCCAGTTTGCTAGTAAACTACTATTGCTGTATAATATCTTTTTGATAATACTATTATATCTGTTATAAGTAAGAACAAACCTTAATTAGATTTGAATTTTTAAAAAACTTAGTGATAAAAGAAATTTAAAATTTCAAATAAGCAAACTCAAATTAGCAATAAACAAACTTTACTCTAAAATATCTAAAATAACATATGCTTCTAACCCTAACTCAACTAATTCTAAATTCTTTAAATTTTATTCTAATTTACAATATTCTCTTTTAACTGTAATGTGGTTTGGACTTTAGCAATAAAAACTTTTGATATAAAGGTGTATATTCATAAATAGCAGCTAGAGTAAAGAACTTGTATCAAATAGCTTGAAGCAGATAGATACTTTTTTAGTAAATTTTTCTATCTTGATTCAAATAATATCTCATTCAAAATATTATAGTATTAAAAAAATTCTTTAATAAACAAATTATATATATTACCTAATACTGCTTTTAAATTTTTTAGAAAGTTTTGATTTATATGATAAATGCAGTGTAGAGAATAAGTATTTTCATACTCATATTTCAGTATACTATCTATTGCTAGATCTGTATCTGAAACAAAAATCAAAGAGTCAATGCTTGTAACTTTCTTAGTATACTGTAGAATCTATTAGTAAGAATCTACTGTTTTATTAGAAATTAATATCTGTGCTACTAAATACAATTTAGAATTATTATCAACAGTAAAAAATAAACTAAGTAGTATTTGATATCAATTGGTCTTGGATGTATTATCATTAAGAATTATATTATGATATTTAAGCTATAGAGATAATTGCTTAAAAGTTATTCAAAAAAGCCAGATAAGACAATTTCACTATCTAATTCAAATTCAATACATCAGCCTGATTCTTGTTTCTCAATAAGAAATAATAGAAAATGTAAAGTATCTTTTCGAGATTTGACTTTATAATGTTGAATTGCATTGGCGAGATCTATATCTAGAAAAGTCATATCTGAATATTTGGTTTTTAACAATTGACTCTATATAGTAATTAAAAAATTTCTATTTTTTATATAAAATTCAATATCATTCAGTGCATCCTTTCTAATAGATCTGAATTTTGTACCATATTTACTATTCTTAGGATAAAGTTCATGAATGTGGGTATTAATAAATATTGTTACTGTGATATGCGTAGATTGCTTGGAAAAATTCAAGTTAATATTCTATTTACATTCTTTACGTTTTGATTTCTGGTTATAATAAGTATTAATATCAATATTCTTTTTAGGTATATATTTTCTTCCAAATTCACATTTATAAGATCAGTGCTTAATCATACTATTATTATATTGTTCAACTCTTTTTTGATAATTAAAAATCTATAATATTGACTATAAGCTTTAAGAAATAAGTCAATATCATCTCACGAACAAAATATATATTCAACTTTTAACAAAAAAAATCATATGATGTCTTGCTTAAAGATATTTCTAAAAAGTTGAAATGCAGTAGTATATAAAATTGAAATTAAAACAACTTATTATTTCACATTATAGCAATACTAATATCTATATTAACCTTTCTAATAGTCATATTTTCAGAGAAAGCTTCAAATTCATTATAAACTATATTTTCATAAGTAGCATTAGCTTCAGTATTAGCAGTATATGAGAGATTAGTTTGAGTATTAACTATGTAAAAGGTAGCAATGACTTTAGTATTCATTATATAAAAAAAACTAGTTTCAGTATTAATTATATAGAAGGTACTAGCTTTGGCATTCACTTGATTTGATATAACTATATTAAAGATACTAACTTTAGCATTGACTACATAAAAGATATTAGATTCAATATTAACCATTTGTTATGCCATATTTAAAAACTACTTTTATCTATTTAATTTCGAATTTATTAGTCTGTAAATATACAAATAGAATTCTTAAAAAAATATTTGAAGAATATTGACACATTGCAAGATTAATTAGGTTCTATCAAAAATAAAGAATAGTAAAAAAATCTACTAAGTGCTAAAAGATAGTACAATATAGGTAGGTTTTGTTAGAAGTTGTTAGAAGTTACTTTAAGTCTAAAAAATTTTGTAAAACATATAAAATAAATGACACGTAAGATTAAATATATGTGATTTTAAGCACCTCATGAATATGTGCTAGTTTTATTGCAAATTTACTAAATTACAACTTAGTTTTTAAGATCAAGTACAATATAACTTAAGAAAATTTAAAACAAATATTCATATTGCTTACTTTTTAAAAGTATATATAAGAAACCACTTTTGGTGCTCTAACAAAAAGTTTTCAGTAGGCAATTTTACTATACAACTACTTTTTTCTAGCCTATAATACTAATAACTTAATATGAATAAACTTTAAAGACTTTGTAGAGACACTTGAAAAATAGTTAACTTAGTGATCAATGATTATATGATAAACATATTATAATATTATTTGTTTACCAGAATTAAATAAACTAGCCTATACTATACTATTACTATAATTCTAAACTAACTCTAATCAAGGCTGAATAATTATCATATAATATTATAATGATCACTAAGTTAACTCTTCTTTAATCTATTCTATTAACTAGTCCACATTCAATACTGATTTTAAAATTTATATATCATATAATAAATAATTAATATAATAGGATATAATACTAATATTTATTCTTAATTGGTGATTCGCCAGTACCTAATGCATGATTATAGTGTAACATGATACAGATTACTATATAAATCATATATACCCTGAATGTGGCATTTGCCCAAGAAAAACCTTTTTTCATACTAAGTTAATTACTCTTCTGTATTAAGTCAAAATTGTAGAGCTTATCAATGCACATCTAACAGTAGTCAGATCATCCAAATCGGCCTAGTAGTTGTCAAGATATCACTAAAAAACTATTGGCCAACTATGTAAAATTCTATGTAAACAAACTATTGTTTATTTAGAAATTTTACATAGTTGACCAATTGTTTTTTAGTGATATCTCGACAACTACTAGGCCGATTTGGATGATCTAATTACTGTTAGATGCGTCTTGATGAGCTCTACAATTTTGACTTAATGCAAAAGAGTAATTAACTTAGTACAAAAAAAAGTTTTCTTTAGGCGAATACCACATTCAGAGTATATATTATTTATATAGTGATCTGCATTACATTATACTATGATTATATACTAGGTGACTGGCGAATCACTAATTAAAATTATATATTTTTGATTTATAAATAATTTAATAGACAAATTATAAGTTATCTGAACAAATAATTTTTTTTTATATAAATTTTACTATAAGTTTGAATATAGAACACTTCTGTTTAAAACTTTTTTTTATTAGTAAAGCATTTTTGGGCTTGTAATAAAAGTTGTAAAGCTTATCAAAATATATTTAATAGTAATAAGAATGTTAAAATCAGTTTGGTAGTTCTTGAAAAATCTTAAAAACTTCTTTTTTATATATAAAATTTTTTTAAAAATTTTTTTTTTTTTTTTTTAGTGTTAAAGTGACCCTTTCAGTTAAATACTTTATTATTGTTTGGATTATTTTTACAGCTAGATGATCTACATCTGTCATATATATATTTTTATATACATAACCTCGATATAATACTATTTAGTAAGGGTAGTAACAGATATTATGTAATATCCTAGAGGATACCTAGAGATCATCAGGAAAAAAAACAGAGAGTTATATATTGATTGGTAACCGAAAGATATATAACAATATAAATCACCCTGCTGATTTATAATGATTGCGATACTAATCGATATATAATGAAAAGAATATAAATTGATATATAACCAAAGCGATTATAATCGATATATAATCTAAATGATTAGAATCATGTTAGGTAATTTATTGATTATAATCATTTAGATTATATATTGATTATAATTGATAGATAGCTATAAGCTGATTATAATCAATATATACTGCTATACTCATAATATTAGAATCAATATATACAAATCATTATATTAAATATTACAGCGATTCACTTTTATATTTATCAACTTAAAGCAAATAAAATTTATATATTTAAATTGAATACAATTTATTTTATACATATAAGATACATTTTGCATGCAATACATAAAAAATTACAAAAAAAAACAATGCCACTAAGAGATCCCAAACAATTCGTCCTGTGCATCCTGCGAAAGAATTAAAGTATTACTTTGGGACAGGGGAGTTGTATTAAGGTCAGGTTCAGTGTTGAAATTGGCCTGCGTTGATTGCATTTGTGTTTATTGTTCAGCTTCGTAAGAGCCTAAAACAAGCTTATTATTAATGATTGTGTTGGCCGATTCTTGATTAGAACCGCCATTATCAAAGTCATTCTAGTATAATAAAGATTAATATTCATTTTGTAGTTACAATCGATATGTTACAAATACTTACCAAATAGTGCACCATGCGACGCTTAATTCGACTTTTGCTACAGACAAGATTTTTCGATTGGGGATTCAATATAATATCACACACGGCTAGTGTGAAGGCACAATGATGGTTTGTGAGAGTAGAGGTAACAGCCATGCTAAATGCAGTTCTTGCAATAATTGCAACCCAGAAAAATGCTTTTATCATCTTGCTCATAGAGCGCACAATAGCAATCATACACTTCTTGGCTTTGCTTCCACCTTACTATATCTTCAGCACTAATATTGCTTCTGAGGCGAGGAAGCCTTTCATGACCAAATACACTCCAAATTGCCAAACGTACATTCTGCAACACTGAACCATGCAGATTCTTTATTTTTTGTAAGAGCTATTGGAAATTGAGTACCATAAAAAATGTTTAGACCAAAAACTCTTTCTGTAAAATCCCTTACACAAACTTAAATAAAAATTCATGCATCATAAAATCGCCCATATCTCAATAATTTATTAAAGAAACATATTTCCACTGCTTAAGAAAAACTGCTCCACTCACAGTTTTACACATATCCTATAAGTTTCAAGTCTCTAGCTTAGAAACTTGTAGCAAAAACATCAAAAACCAGTTTTGGTTTTCCTAACCAAACTTTTATTTATTTCTTAAAAACCGTCTTCACAAC